CTTCATCTGCTTATTACTAAAAACTATGTATTCTGACAGCTAACCGTCTAACAAGTGGCGAAGGATAAGACCAAGTAGACCACAAAACGACTTGGGTCCTTTTCCATTTTTCGAATTCTCGAGTATCGTTATTGAGTTAAAGCTAAATTGGCTTCCGTTCACATAACTACATCTCTTGTTATTCCAAGCAGTTCATTTAGCCTGAGGTTGGTTGCCAAGTCATCACCAACCCCATGATGTCCCAGACAGTGATCCTCCTGCTTGCTGAACATTACCACAATATATACACCGTTGTCTTCTCTTTTTCTAGACATAATCTAGACAAGGGATGTAATAAAACTGGGAGTAAAGGATTGCTACATAAATTAAAACAAATGTTATCATATATTTTACATTCATTGAAACTTCATTTATAACTTTCCCTCTGATTTAAAGAATCTGTTATTTATTCTTCAAAATAGAAATATGTTAAATAATGCCTTTATAGAGCTATACCAAATTTCTTCGGCTGTTGCTCGCGGTACAATACTGGGCACTGATCTGTTATTCTGCAAAATATCAAAAACTGATAACTCTACCATTGATACAGTCATAATGTAAACAACTGTAAGGACTTTAACGATGCATCACGAAATCTACAAAAAACCATATGTTAGATATATTAAATTGGCTTATTATAAATTAATTAAAATTAAAATAAGCACTCATAAAGTGACTCAAGATACTTTCAAACTTATATCTAATACTTGTCAATAAATTTCTGTTTCGATTTATGTATCCGTACAGTATGTGGATATACATTTAACTCAATAAGTTACAAGTAAAAAGTATTTTACTTAAAATTTACTAGCTGATATCATCATAACTAAAATAGTCTATATGTCACAGGACATAATGAGTAAATCAAAGTGGAACTACGATATTCAACTTCATAGGTCAAACAGATGTAATAGAACTCTTTAAATCTAATGCGCTCCGTACCATTACTCTTGGATCTGATTACTTCAAAAACAAGAAAAAACATTGGAGAGAAATTATGTATCGCAACCATACTTATATAGTAAAAATTCTGTAATTAGGTAATCCAATCTGCTAGTACTTAGGATAATGTCTTTTAACTACTAACCAAGACGTTCATTGAACATGACAGTCATTTTTAGTTCCATTAAATTTAGATTAGTTAAATTATAGAAATTGATTATAGAAATTGATTCTTAATTGATTGATTCTTAATGTCTAAGCAACCAATACGATTATATAGACGTAAAGCTTTGCGTAGAACCGTAAAACTAATAAAAGTTACGTGATATAGGTCGGTCTTTCTACAAATACTTCTGTACGGCGCAAAAGTGTGAATGCTGCCACAGATTGATGAAGCAGCACTTAGAAAGTTGGAAAAAAAAGTTCTTCGTGAGATCTTTAGTTCTCTACTAGTTGAAGAGGACAGCTAGTGACTTTTGATTTCAGTAAATTAATATGCAGTGACTTCATTAGCTTTTTTACATATCGTAGGGAAATCTCGACTCGCGTAATATTAAATTCTCGTTATTGGCCAATTTTGGCCAATACTGTATGTAATTCGGAAACTACTTCAAAATAATTAACGCCAACAATTTAACCAAAATGTTCGCATTAAAAACTTTAAACGTTTCACTGTACAGTCACTCTTAGGCACATATGTGTTTAATAATGCAGTTCATTTATACATGGTACTGCCTAAATACATCTTTGAAACGCTGATATAACACACATTTTTGCCTTTTTTAATATAAAAAATATCTATGAAAATCTTCATTTTTTCCTGAATTGAAAAATTGCGACCATTTTTATGATTTTTTTCATATCTTTCGATTGAGATTTATGATTCATGATCGCATTTGTGGATTTTTCGATTTTTTCCGCCTGTTAGTCTGTTTGAACATGGACTCACTGCGCACAGACAGGGAGTTGGTAGCAAAGATAGGTAGACTCGGAGCCGGACTAAGCGACAGAAAGCCAACAGCCAATCAGCAGACAAGTAAGCAAATACACCACATACCACATGCCACTTCATAGGAAAAAATGCCAAAAAATGCTAACGAGTGCAACAATTTAGTGGCAACTGCAACAACAGCAACAATAACTGCAGCAACATCAACAGTTGCAAGTGTGATTGAGTTTGGCAATTTGTGAATTTAGTTAAAATGCCAATTTTTTCCTTAGATATTTTTATATTTTCTTCTCTTATTATTATTTTACCACAAAAAATTATTTATTATCGTAGTTTAAAACGGTTTAAAAAAGTAAGAGTTTTATAATTTGACTGATATCTGAGTGGAATCACATGTTGTTGCTATTATTGTTGTTGTTGAATTATTATTAGGTTTTGTGGTTTATCGTTTCAAGTTAACGTGATTCATAATTTGTTGTGGCACGAATTATCTTAAAAATTGTCTTTAGAGATTTTTTTCCGAAAGATACATTTTTGCTTTTCTAATTCATTTTTTTTTTTTTTTTTGTTTTTTTTTGTTAAATATGTTTATTATTTTTTTCATAACTATGTTTTTTATGAATTTGGTCATAAATATAATTATGGTCAAAAGATAAAAAATTGGCATTTTTCAAAAAATTATCTCCAACAACTAAAAATAACAGAAAACACTAAGTTGAGAAAAATGTTAAAAAAATCCATAGATACTATATTTTTTTCGATAGATAGATATTTTTTTCTTCCTTACGTATATTAGTTTTATTTATCGATTTTCGTTATTTAATTTGTGCTTGTAAAAATTTGGTATCACGTTCGAATTGTATAATTGACCTTTGCCCAGTTCAGTTCAAAAAACAATAATTTTTATTAACTTAAACAAAAATGTAGCAAATGACAGCAGCTCCTACTCAAGATAATGGATCGAGTGAAAATTTCGTAGAAGCACATTTTTATGTAACCGTAATATTGAACTATACCTATGCTTCGGATTTGTCGGAAACTTCATGCATTCGATTCAAAAAAAAAAAAACAATAACAGCAAAGATCATTTTTCGATAATAAAAAGTTGATAATATATAACTGACAGGCTATTTCTTTATAATTGTAGTGCTTGGCGATAGACTAGGGTCTGTCAAATGTCAAGGTATTTGTGTTTCCTTACACCTCTATCATTATATATATGATTTGACATTAAAGATCTATGGTAGATAGAAAAACGTCAGCACTTGGAGTTTTCAGTTCAATTCGTTCTGTTTTTTATCACATGTTTCGGTACATACCATAAGATCTCTTGAATGTAAGAGCAGTTGTGCTTCTTGAAGATATGTGATATATCCATATTTGTTAGAAATGATGACATGGACAGTTATTACGTGAGAAAACGTTTGGTACTAAAGATTTAATATAAGTACATATATTTCTATGCTTTAGAGTCTTTGTGTCTGTTAAGCTTTTTGAGAGATATCTTTTTGTGTATATTTTTCAAATTTCAAGGTAGTTACACTTTTTCCAACTTTATGCTAGATATATTCATAATCAAACGTAAATAAGATCTGGCATAGCTAGTAATAGTATTGTTTATCACAGTTTTTCCGTTTTTGTAACATTTTATGAGAGATATATTTTTTTATTCAAAATTTTTCTCAAAGACAAGATATTTCTTACTGTTGCAGTTTTCTTGGATATCAATTTAATTTATAACACAAGATATGAGAGTAGTTCGGATTAAACACGCTCTTATTAATGGAGATTCACTGGCTTCTTATAATCAATAGCACTGACATTTATTAAGTGAGATATAATTTAGTGCCAATGCTTAGGAGTCATTATCACTTATTAAGAGAACTATGCTTCAATATATAAGATTTATTCAAAGCGGACATTTTTCCGCTCCTTAGATCTTTTATTTCACTCATCTATTATTCGAGATATACTTTTGTAAAGCAAAATCTGTTAATAGTTGAATCACTACAGACCATAGGAGTTATTGAGAGCGTTTTTTTAACCATTCAATGTATATAGATATATTTATTTTTTTATTTTATTTCTTTCTTATTTGTTTAATCATTATGTATTTATTTATATTTTATATACTTTGAATTATTTCCAATATTTTTTATTTATTTTTTTCTTAGTTTTTTTTATAATATGCACAATATTTTTTCTTTTTATATATTTTTTTTTCTGCAATAATTTTGTATATATAAAAAAGTGATAAAAAACTATTACGCAGATAACACCGAAAGTGTTTATAATTTCCACAGCATTCGATAAATTTCCTTCTGGAGCTACTGCTTTTGGTGCGAAAAGCGCTATGCCTGGCACTGCATGCGTACATGCAAATTCCGTTCGCAATCCATGCGCTCGTAACTCATTTGGTAGCTATGAGCCGCGCTTATTGCTGTTATGTCTCATAATTTTGCAACCTCAACTCATGCTTGAATGCAGGCAGTTTTCATATCTGCGAAATGCACTTGCATATGCCGCAATGCTAATTGCAATAAATTTGCAGGCCTGCAAGCGAACTCAAACCGTTCATACTCGTTTAATCCAAGTTATTAGTTAAAAATATCTTGAAACCTACACTGAACAAAATCTAAGTGCTTTCTTGATTTCTTGGTTACCACATGCAGGCAATATTAAAAAAAAAAAAATATATATACGTATATATATATATACGTTCATATTTATAGAAAAATAGAAGCAGTATTAAAAAAGAAAATAATATAGAAAAAAAGAAATATATATATATATATATATGTATATATATAGAAAATGATAAAAATTATTAAAACTTAAAATTATTATAGGTCATAAAATACACGTTAATCCAGATACATGGCAAGAAAAAAATCCAATTATCAATTATAATTAATTTTGTTTTTAATTAGCAATATAAAGTGATTAGATAAAGTAACGACATAATTTCAGTTTTATTTTAGTTATTTTTTATTTTTTATATACATTATTTTTTTTTAAATGAATTCTATGTAAATTTAAATTAAAATTTTTCTTTTTTTACTCTTTGCAGGTGAGTTTAGACGATTTGTGTGAAACTAAGAGTTTGCGGTTGAAAGTGAGTTACTGAAGAAATTTCTATGAAATTGAAACTTATTCGCGCAATTATTAAATACTTATTATATCATAGAAAGATGTACGTGCGATAAGATAAAAGCATACTTTGGATTTAAGATATAATATATATGTATGTATGAGTTTTATTAGTAACATCTATATATATATTTATATTAATATATATTATGGATTGTATGTACGTCAATGTCAATAGAGGCAGCATCAGACCCTTCAGTTTCTGTGCTGCTAGCATCAGTATACTGTGGAAAAACAACATTTTCCACAGCGTGTATATTTTTGCAGATGTGCACAACAGCACCATCTGCAAAAGGTTCACTGACCTGTGACACAACAGTCGACTGGTCGTTGTTAATTCCCTGCCCGACAGCAGTAGTGTTTGATGCGATAAGGGTAGCATCATCCCCTTTAGTTTGTTCATTAGACGTATCCATATGATATCCCACGAGTATTAGGGAAGTATAAAGTCGCCATCGGCAGAGCCCATTTACCGACAGAAGGCAAATTGAAAGCGGAGGTCGCCTGGTATCCGCAGTTCGCTATTAAGGTCATCACTAGCCCCGTGACCAAGTTCCTACAGGCATAGCTGTTCCACCGTAGATTGGGGGGTTGTTCGGGTCTCATTCATACATACACACATACTACACCATACACCATACATCCTAGGTACAAAAACTATAGATTGTTTCATATCTTCAATCAAACCCAGGGTGTTTTCCTTCACCCCGCCTAGTTGCTGGCGACCCCAAAAACCAGCAGAGACATGACCTAACTGCTTTGGGGTCATCGATCCTACAAACAACTAAACTTCCATTAAAGGCCGATCGATTGACTAACGAACTTAATGAGTAGCACCAAAATGCAAAGACTCATCTACTCCCCGAGACGCTAAGATGTTATAGTAGCCATTCGGACCACGTCAGTCAGCCTACATAAAGTTACTACTAATACACATAAAATTACTACTACTACAAATACTACGTAAAATAAAACAAACACAACTACATAAAACAACAAAACATAGACTACATGACAACACAAAACTACCTAAAGGTAGATCTTGGTTGTACACCTCGTTCTAGAAACGTTAAAAATTCACAGTCGTCTGACAAATGCCAGGTGATTGCGAATATTCATATTTATAGTCCGAGTTGTAGCTAAGCCCCTACACCACGTCAAGGTGCCTACCATGTAGAGGTAGTTAGTTCTCTTAGTTAGTTCATAAGCCATTTCCTTACATTAATGTCCTAGAATTCATTCAACGTCTTCCTGACAATTTCAATAAAGTAGCTTATTGTGAGCTCACAGAAAGGTTCAGGATAAATTCAGAATATCTTTGATCCTCTCTTGGTTAATTCATCAGCCATTTCCTTACATTCACGTTCTAGCATCCAATCTAACACTAGTAATAAAATTCCATGGAATATTAAAGAGGTTTGAGATATTTGTTACAACCTGAAGGGCCTTAATCCCACTTACTTTCATCCTTATGCGAAAATATTCTCTCACGCACATATCAATGACAAAAGACTGTTCCTGTAAGACGTTGAAACCAATTCGAAACGACCAAGCACTTCCGATACTAATTATCGGAAGTACTTCATTGCAGATAGCAGTTTTTCAAACTAAATCAATCTTTACATAGTTGATGAAACCTGTATTATACACATAAAGGACAACAAAGCATATCTTGACATTAGAAGTCAAAATCTGTATATATATATTTTTAAATATTGCTTTATATATGCAATTATTTAAAAGTTTTATGTTTACTAGTACATCAGTCATATACTTAACAACTGTAAAATTATACAATTTTTTATAAGAAGCAGAATTTATTAATCGTTTTTGTGATACACTACAAATTATTAATTATATTAATAAGTACATTAAATATATTAAAATATTTGATTTCAAACGAATGCATGAATGCCTAAAACAACTTTCCTCATATTACAAATAAAATACATTTAACACTTCAAAATAAATTGTCAGTTTAGTTTTGAAATATAAATGTTTAAAACATTCAACTGGTTTAAAATATAATTCATTCATTTAATTAAGTAAACTGAGAATTTGTTAAATAATACCAAATTATAACAAATAAATGCTGACAATTCTCATATATATTTTGCATAATTTGTTTTTTATTGTCTCAACAAAAAAAATGCAAAAAATGCATAAAATGCTTATAATTCTTATTAAGTTTACTTTAAAGCTTAATAATTCCTCAGTACTAAGTTACGTAATTTGAATTTTTAATAATGATTTAATATGCTTATTAGAGTTTGGAAAAGTAAAAAAGGAATATATTTTGACTTTAGGGTACTCCTTATATATAAATGCGTAAAAATTTAAAAAGTACTGTTTATACAATTAATGAAAATCAAGTGAGTTGATTGGTAACGCATTGATTATTTGAGCTATTCCGAAGATATTATCACAAATAAGTGCTTACAATTCTCATTCGGTATAATGTGTTGGCCACGTTACGTGACCAAGAAAATATATGTATGAAATATTTACAATTCTTATTAAGTTTACTTTAATTCTTAATAACTTTGCAGTACTGATTTCAGTAATTTGAATTTTTAATAATGGTTTAATATGCTTATTGGAGTTTGGAAAGCTGAAAAACGAACATTCTTTTAACTTTAGTGTTTATGTTTATAGGCGTTTGCGTGGAACTCGAAAATGTTAAGTTTGACTTAAGTCAATTTGTTAAATATAAATTGAAATATAGATGCATAAAATATTCAATTGATTAAAAAAATACAATTTATTTAATAAATCTAATCAACTGAGTTGATTTGACGATATGTGCATATGTATTGATGCTTGCGTAGAAACCATATATGTCTATCTGAACTTAAGGGAATTTGTTGCCGGCATTTGTATCAAATATTATCTTTAGAAATGAATAGTTATTTTGGCTTCAAAATATTAATGCTTGTAACATTTCACTGGCTGCAAATATTAGTTACACATTATATTAGGAGTTTTTTATCTTATGTTCAACACCTCCCAGTTCTTATTAGAGTTTATTAAATGAATAAATTGTGCAGGTGAAATGATTGCCTTTGAAATACTTTATTATTTGCCTATATAGAAATAATGCTGTGCAGGTAAATGTGATATAGGGTTTAACTAATATAGCCGTCCAGAATTAGATCTATAAATAATACTCACTGTCATAGAATTTATTTAAGCTAATGTTGTTCCATTCAATACCTACTATACACTCATTACTGTTTTTTAGCTTTTTCCCACTTATATTAAATGGAGTAACACGCCTATTGATGGTTGTATGTTAAGCTATGGTGGATCAAATTGTTTGGAGATCTTTAAAAAGTTGATTATTAATCAACTGTTTTTAGCTGAAAATATCAATCAATAAATTTATCAAAATAGTATAGATTTTTTTGTACTGATTATTTGTATTTAATTTTTATATATTTTTTATAAATACATGTCTACTGAAAGAACAGTCAACAGTCAGCAGTTCATGTTATTCAAAGTTCAAAAAATAATAAATAATTTATGCCGAATTGATTAATTTGACAAGCGCTCAGAAGCCTGCCCGTACACGTATTCGTGATGTTGAACAAACATTTAACTAATTATGCAACTGTATTGAACTTTTAATTAATTGGAAACCACAACATGACAAAGTTAACACGAAATCTACGCAATCTGCTCGAGAACAACGATTGCCAGAAAATCATGCAAAAAAATGACAGGTAGGCCAAGCACAGTCAACCTAAAACCCAGTAACCAGTAACCAATAACCAATAATCAATACCCAAAACGCGAGATACAAGATACAACCATGAAGCGTTATATTGACTTTCAGTTATTGAAGTGAATAATTTTTTATATATTATTAATCTTGAACACACAAGCCTACATGCATTGTTATAATGCTTTCAAATTATAAATTTTATATGTTGTATAAATAAAAATAATTAAAATTGTCGGAGATACATAGAAATGGTTGAAATTACTGCCCTGCTGCTTCCTTCCCTCTCTGCTTGCTGTTGTCGAAAGGTTGGTTTTGTCACGTTTTCGCTAAACGTAACTGCGTTCCACACGGTTGAGATACACTTAAGCCAGGAACGAATGCAACTAATGATTTATTTGCTAAATTTTGAATTTTGTCTAATAAATGTTTGCAATCTCTTAAGAATTTCTTGTGTTACTGATATTTGGCAAAGAGGAAGCCAGGCATTTGCCGCCACAATGTTGGCTTTAATTATTGCGATAAAGTCTCAATTAAAAACTGCAGTTAACCAACATAGCGGGTGAGGTTAGGTTTAAGGTTTCAATACTCTATGCATTATCCAAAATTATTCAACCCAGCTTCGCTTAGCTGCTTATGTACTTAGGCTCTACAGAACTGCACGTCTTACATTTGTGAATTTATTTTTTTTATACGAATACGAGTACTGCCAGCTGCTGCTAAAGCGCGACTTTGTGTAGGTGGCAACTTTACACGGCGCTGTTAAGGCAAGAGTTTCTCTGTTAATTGATGTGCATTGTTAGATTTTTGCAAAATAAATGTTTCAAAATCATTACAAAACGTTTTGAACATTTCGTTTATTGCCGCATTTGCCTCTGATTGCCTAAATGTTCCATTCCATTGCGAATTAAAAAGCCAAAATATTTGTCATGTCCATTAAATAAATTAAATTCTTTTTCGCTTAAATAAATGCTTTTAATATGTTTTTAAAATAAAATAGATTTCCTGTATAACGGCTTCAGTGGCGTAGCTAGGGATTAGTATCATTATCCTATCCTTTTAAAAAAATTTGATGTTTATTTTCAGACCTTCATCAATTCCTCTACTCCTCTACATTGTTACCATAAATCGCACTGCGACCAAAATAGATCCCTTATTTGTAACACCCATAACTCATATTCAACAATCTAGAAATGAAAGAACAAAACTAAATTAATTGTTTATAAATATTTTTAAATTTGTTGAAATTAATCTACAGAACTATCATCAAGTTCAATATCCTTAATCCTATCAATTTCAATTGAAAATACATCCATGTCGAGAGCTCTTCGACTGGCTAA